TAAATCTGAGATGGGTCTGGGGTCTGCTTTTCACTGAAATCAGCCAGTTTTGGGGTTTTTTTGGGGTTTTTTTGGGTTTTCTTGTGGTTTTTGGTGGGTTGTCGACATAAGCAGAGTCCTGGTGCGCGTCTACACGCCTGTGGGCAAGGCCGAGCAGGGCAAGTTCGCCCTCGAGGTAAACCTGGACACGGTTTGGGGTCTGCTTTTCACTGAAATCAGCCAGTTTTCGGTTTTTTTGGGGTTTTCTTGTGGTTTGTGGTGGGTTGTCAACATAAGCGGAGTCCTGGTGTGCATCTACACGCCCGTGGGCAAGGCCGAGCAGGGCAAGTTCACCCTCGGAGTAAACCTGGACACGGTTTGGGGTCTGGTGACTCACATAAATCTTGGAATTTTGGGGTTTTTTGGGGTTTTCTTGTGGTTTTTGGTGGGTTGTCGACATAAGCAGAGTCCTGGTGCGCATCTACACGCCCGTGGGCAAGGCCGAGCAGGGCAAGTTCGCTCTCGAGGTAAATGTGAGTCAGGTCTGGAGTTTGGTCACTCACTGAAATCAGCGAGTTTTGGTTTTTTTTTTCTTTTTTTTCCTTTTTTTTTTTGTTTCTGTTTTGTTTGGGGTTTGTTTTGGTTTTTGGGGTTTTTTTGTTTTGTTGTTGTTGTATTCCTGGTTTTTGGAATTTTTTTTGCCAAACAGGGCAAGTTTTCTCTGGAGGTAAATCTGAGTTGGGTTTGTGGTCATTCGCTGAAATCTGGAAGTTTTGGGGTTTCTTTTCCTAGTTTCAGTCATAATTTCTTAGTTTCATTCGTAATTTCCTAATTTTAGCCGTACTTCTTAGTTTCAGTCATAATTCCTTAGTTTTTCAATCCTAATTTCTTAATTTCAGTCACAATTTCTTAGTTGCAGTCGTAATTTCTTTGTTTCAGTCATAAATTTATCGTTTCAATGGTAATTTCCTATTTTCAGTCATAATTTCCTAGTTTCAACCGTAATTCCTTAGTTTCAGTCATAATTCCTTCGTTTCCTTAGTTTCAGTCACAGTTTCCCCAGTGTTGCCCAGTTCCAGGTTAACAGCACATTTCTCCTCTCGTTTCTTACAGGTTGCTGCTAAAACTCTGCCTTTTTATAAGGACTACTTCAATGTTCCTTACCCTCTTCCTAAAATTGATCTCATAGCTATTGCAGACTTTGCTGCTGGTAAAGTAACTCACTTTATTGCTGAAATTGTATTTTATTTGATTTTTTTTTTATTAAAAAACCTTTAGGAAGAGGTGTGGATCAATATCAATAAACCTTTGTATTTATTTTATAAAGGTGCCATGGAGAACTGGGGCCTTGTTACTTATAGGTATGATGTTAAAATACTGTCTTTCCCCCTCTCTGTTCATTAATTCTTGGAGTTAATTGGATTCATTTGAGGCAGCTCTAATTGCTGGGTGTCATCCCAAATCACACAGAACCAATCCTTTCAATTTTTAGTTTGGTTTGGATGATTTTGGTGGTGCTGTTGCAGCTTAGGAAGGCAAAGTTCAGCCACTGGCTGAGGGTTTTAAATTGTAAAAACCTTCTTGGCCCCTTTTTTCCCCCATAAAATCTCCTGACACAGCTGGGAGAGTTTATTTTACCTCGTAGATAAATTTGGCAGCCACAGAGTAAAGGTGTGGAGGTGGGAAAATCAAAAATATTAACTCGCCTTCCTTTGCAGTTTGATATTTTTTCCTTCTTCTAATCAAGCTTTTGCACTTTTGCTTGATAATTAATTCCTTTCTGTGCTGGTGGTCAGGAGGATTTCCCTGAATTTTGAACAACTTGTAAGCTTTGGACTTTAAACCCTGAAATAATTTGGGATTTCTTCTGCTCAGTTTGAAATTAAAAAATCCAAAACAAATTCAAGCCCAGTTTTTAATTTTTTTCCCTGCTTGTTGCAATTCTGATGAAATTTGATATTTTATTCCTTGTGGGGAAAACAATTTAATATATTTATCGTGGATGAGGAGAATTTTTGGGCTGGAGCTGTGAATTTTTGCCCCTTGGTGCCGAGTTTGCTCTGCCCCATTTGGGCACCTGGAGGTGTTTTGGGCGGTTTTTCCCTGGAATTTCAGCATTCCAGAGGTTCCCATTCCTGCAGGCCTGCAGGTGCCACAGAGGAGAAATTGCTGCTGGCACCTCTTGGCAGAGCCAGAATTCCTTTGGGAGCGCTGAGGGGAGCAGGATCTGAGCACAGAGAGAGCTGAGCTTCCAAAAATCACCCAGGGGAGCATTTCGATAAATAAAAACCAAATTTCCCTCCTTCTGCCTGGGTTTTTTTTCCTTCCACTCCTTGCATGCCATGAAATAATTCCTGCTCCAAAGCATTGCGGCAGCTGTGGAACTCACCCTGACAATGTCCTGGCTACACCGAGATAAATTTTGGGTCGGTTTTTTGGGGGTTTTTTCCTCTCTTAGGTAATTCCACCTCCTTTGTTGTGGTTTTTGGTGCCGTCCCGGCCGTGCTGAGCTCGGTTTGTGTCCCCGCAGGGAGACGGCGCTGCTCATCGACCCCAAGAACTCCTGCTCCTCGTCCCGCCAGTGGGTGGCGCTGGTGGTGGGGCACGAGCTGGCGCACCAGTGGTTCGGGAACCTCGTCACCATGGTACCGGGCCCCAAAATCCCATTTTTATTACAACCTGCCCAAAATCTGGGTTTGGATGCACCTAAACTGCACCACGCTGTGATAACAGAATTAATATTTAAATAGTGATTTATGGTACCGAGCCCCAAAATCCGCTTTTATTGCAGCCTGCCCAAAATCTGGGTTTGGATACACCTAAAC